ACTGCCCCGACATGCCTAGTTTACCTTTTCCTTCTTCAAATCAATGCTAAATATTCTTGATTGTTTTTTTTCTTTTTTCTGTTTTTGTTTTGGGCAGTTTTTTCTTTTGTTTTTATTCCTCTTTCTCTCATTTTTTTTTTGTTTTCTCTTTCCTTTTTTTCAAAATTAACGAATTTTATTTTAAAATCGTGATTATTTCTTAAACTCTTGAACCTTTCAAAGTGGTGAACATTTTCCTAAATTTTTTATTTAAGAAAAACTCCATGAACTGTTTTCTGAATGCTTCAACTTTTTTTCATATGCACGGATGTTTTTCAAATCCACGAATTATTTTCAACTTTTACAAACTTTTAGTCAAAACCGGTGATTTTTTTTCAATTTGATGAACTTATATTCAGATTCTATAAACAATATCATAGTCATGAACTTTATTTTCAAAATCATTAAAAACATTAGTGAATTTATTTTTAAAATCTGCAGACTTTTCAAATCCGTGAACATTTTCTTCAAAATCGATGAACTTTCATGAAATCCGCGAATGCTTGGGCCAGCCCGATGGGAACCATGCCGTCACCTAGTAGGGCCAAGGCCTAAGCTTTTTCCTTTTTTTCCTTTTTTTCCTTTTTCTTTATTTTTTCGTTAATTCATTTTCTCCTTGTTGAAATTTTTTTATTATTCTTTTGAAATCTGATTAGAAAATTGTAATATTGGATTGACTACCCAAAAATATTCTAGTTTTCAAATATTTTTTACAATTTTTACAAATAATTTGAAATTTCAAAAATTGTTCCCGTTTTTGAATTGTTTTTGTTCACAAATTAAAAAAAAATTGTTTCAAGAAAATTCGATAAATTTAATAAAAAAAAATATGTTGTTTGCAATTTGTGTTCATAATTTTCATCTATTGCTAGGAATTTTTTAACAATTTTGGAAAAAGTGTTCAAGTTTGTCAAAATTTTATACATAATTTGAAATTCCAATTGTTGGCAAATTTATGGAAATGTTAAGGACATAAGAAAACATTCATGTTGATTTATAATCACGGAAATTGCAAATAACACAAGCATTCAAACTAGGAAAAAATACAAGCTTACAGATGGACCCGTTTGGCCTAGTCTGGCACACTCCTCTCAACTGGTGGTTTTTTGGACTATGGATAAACGACCTCAACTATTGGAACAAGTTGGGCATTCCCATGTTTGGCATCCATGTCAAGTTTGAACGAATTCTGATACAGTTTACATGTTGCAACATGTCCGGCCATTTATCGGGCTTTATTCACCGTAAAAACTCCATAAAATGCGGAAAATCCAAACAACTTGATGTGGTACCTTGAATTGATCATACAAGGCCATGACATAAAATTAGGCCATTTTAAGGATGTCAAGAAACAACATGCTCCCAGATGGAGCTTTCTGCCCTACTCGAACACTCCTCGTTCAGTGAGGTATATTTTGGACATCCTTCAAATGACCCCAAATTCTGCAAGCAGGTGGGCCCATGGTAGGAATCCATGTTAGATTTTAATGATTTCCATACCATTGCAAGTTGCGCCACGTCCGGCCATTTCTCGATCTTTTCTACCGAGATTCAATTAGGGATTGGAGCCCAAGCTATAAAGTAAAAAACATTATGCTTAATAAATTAGGGACTGGGGTTTTGGGGGCGGAGGGGGTGCGCGTGCCCGTGTTGGATCAAACAAAGCGTGTGATGTTGGGTTTGGTGTTTGAGTTTGCAAGTGGATCGTCGATCTATAAGATGCTTCCCTAGTTCCGAGAAGTTTTGAGATAGAGGTTGTTTGTAAATCGAAGAGTTGTAATATGGGTGGAGTCATATTAGGTCGGATGTTGGCAACATCCAGTTCACGTCAGCCGATGGCAAAGGTCGTCGTGTGCACGGCCAGTGACTATAATAGGATGAAGGGTAATGTCTCGGATGTTGGGAGCATCTAGATGTGTACATGTGTGTGATTAAATGAAAAATCTCTCACCGAGGGCCATGTAGGCTTGTTGTGCTCAGTGTAGATTGATAGGCACAATTCGTCCTCCGCAATGCACGGTTCAAGTTGTTCTTCATCTGAATGGATTCTACTAGTCGATGTGGTCCTAGTGCCGCGAAGGTTTGACTGGAAGGAGTTGTGGTGTATAAGGTGCGGTTGATGAGCAATATAGGACACTTTTCAGCCTTCACCACAAGGAAGAAGCGTGACTCTTCTTGGCCGAAGAGGGGTCTTCGGCCCAACAAAGTCTGAAAAGGATATCTTCAGGCCAAGCGAGGCCGAAGAGTCACTCTTCAGGCTAAGGGAAGCTGATAGGTTCATGGAATTGTAATTTAAGAATTTGGACATATAGTTTCGGATTATTTTTTAAGTAATAATAACATTTTTTAAAAGATTCCAGCATCCAGCACAAACCCACCTGTATTAATTAGAGAAAGATTGATTATTGGCAACGTATCAGCAGGCCTGCAGGATTGATTGCTTGGGTACATGTACTGTATGACAGCAACTCCCCAACAGCTTTGCTTCGAAATGTACACCTTGTACTCCACTCGCTCCGCGCGCGTGCGAATCAGCGACCCAGGGTGAAGTACATGTCAAAGACGACGACGATGGAGGTGTTCGTGGAGCTGAGGAGGCTGCTGACCATGTACCCTCTCGCGAACCGGAGCTTGCCCGTGCCGCCGACGATGCTCCGCTCCGCCGGGCCAGACACCCCGATGTGGCCCAGCGTCGCCAGCGTGCTGCCGCTGTACGCGCCGTAGTCGGAGAAGGCGAAGGTGATGGCCGTGAGCCCGCCGGACTCGTCCAGCGACGCGTGGAGCGCCAGGCCCTGCGCTCTGCCGACCAACCGCGACGCCGGGTCCGGCCCCGCCCGCAGCGCGTTGTCGAACACGTTCAGGTCCCCGAACGTGGACGAGTTCCTGCGCCAAATCAATTCACGTGAATATATTTGTGATATACGCCGGCCGATGCATACAGAGCTACTAGATGCTTAATTACTTGTGCAGGCTGGCGACGTTGAGGACGGTGGCGTTGGGCGTGCCGGCGTTGACCTCATGGAAGTAGAAGTGAAGGTGGATGAGCCCTTCTTCGTCCGCGCCGGACGCAGCGCCACAGCCGCCGATGAGTACCACTACTACTACCACCACGCAGAGAGCAGGGAACGAGGAGCACCGAGCAGCGGCCATGCTAGGCTCCTCTGAGCTATCTTTCTTGTTCACCCGTGGTAGTTGATCCCTCTGTGACAATTCACAGTCCACAAACGCATTGATGTACCCACCGCACCGCACGGCACCGCACCCACCTGCTTTTATATGTTTTCTCCAGGGATTCTCTGTCCCGAGTCATCATCTCTTACCAACCCAAATGCACTAAATCATAATGGACCGGCACATCTGCAAGTAGCCTCTGCAGGTGGTGCAACATCAGCCCTTGATATCTCACCCGCAGAGCAGCTCTGGCATCGCCATAATAACTGTCATTATGACAATTTTGGCTCAAATGGGCACTCTAGCAGACTCGGCATCCCACCCTCGGCCCTTTTTTGGAGAGCAGTCCAAATACAGCCGGCGAGCATCCATACTCCACTGTGGGGGTTATTTGGAGCACGCTCTATCCAGAAAACGGCTAAGCACAAACGACATTTTCCCCTTCCGCTGCTCTTCCCACCCGCGCCGCCGTCTCCCCTCTCTCATAGTATCGCTATCTTTCACAACTTTCAGTCGTTCCCAGTCCCCCGCCTCCGACGGCATGGATAGCGCTTCGACCCTAGCGTGCGATTCCATGGATTTGGAGTCGGATACTGTGCCCTCAGCGACTCCTGTGGCTTTAGCGGCGTCGGCCGGCAGGAGAACCGGCCACG